GTTAAACATTGTGTGACTTTTCTGTTTAAAGTTGCTACCTTTCTTACCCTCTATTCTCTCTCTCTCTTTTTTTTTACCATAGCACTTATTACCTTCAAACATACTGTATCATTTACTTATTTACTATTTTTATTCTCTGTCACCCCTCCCATTAGGGTATAAGCTCCGTGAGTTAAGAGATTTTTATTTCCTTTATTTTACTGTATATCTCTAACACCTAGAAAGTACCTAGCATATAATAGGTATTCAGTAAATATTTGTTGATTGGATGAGTGAATGAATGACTAAGAAGAACTTGCACTTCTTTGCCCATTGTTCCTGGTTCAAGAATAAAATTAAAGAGAAGTATTTTATTTTCTTTGGTACATCTTTGTACCATGTCATTGGTACATCTTTTTTAAAGCTTTAAATATTGATATTAATTGAGAATACAGGTAACTTTCACAGGTGGTTAATTATGGTCATTCCAAAGCAATTTAGAATGATTTATTTTGTATACAGTTTTTTTTTTTTTTTTGTCCCATGCTAGAATCCCTTTTAGGGCATTCCTAAAGGCAGTGTTTGGGTTTTTTTGTTTGGTTTGGTTTTTTTTGTTTTTATGTGTGAGCATTTCTAGTGCTTTCACTCAATAAATATTGGATACATTTTGTTGGTAGAGCCAGTGGGGTTTAATGAAGAATTGCATGTGGGTCATGGAAGATAGAAAAATTAATAAAGGTCACAGAGTGAGTAAGTGGCAGAATTTAAACCCAGCAAGTCTGGCGCTAGAACCTATTAACTACTATGCTATGCTTCTTCTTGGATAAGAGAAAAACCAGAAAAATGACTAAGAAGTGGTTGCCTGTGAGGTAGGACTAAAACCAGAAAAATGTGATGCCCAGGAAGCCAAATTAAAGAAGTAGTGAAGAATAAGAGAATGTGTAACTGTCAGATGCTTATTATAAGTCGAGTAAGATGAGGTCTGAGAATTCACCATTGCATTTATCAAAGCATAAGGTAGGGGTCTCGATAAGAGCAGTTACATGCACTGAAGTCCAGATAAAGTGTGAATTATTATTGTATAAGAATTTACTCACAAACTTAATTTAAAACAACAAACATTATCTCCCTGTTTCTTTGTGTCTGGAATCCAGAAGGTGTTTAGCTGCTGCCTCTAGCTTAAGGTCTCTTAAGTCTTCATCTGTTCCTCCTACTGTATTCACATAAATCATACAGTTACTTCTGCTATATTTACACAGATAAACCCTGGGACTTTGTGGGAAGTATTTTACAAGGATTTGAATACCAAGAGGTGAGAATCGTTGGGGACCACTGAAGAGACTGGTTATCACAAAACAGGCCAAAGAGAGAGTGGAAGGAGATGAATTAGACATTAAATACCAAATAATCTTTTGAGGAGTTTGCCAGAAAGGCAGGGCAGAGAAATAGTGAATTTGTCCAGGTGTACCTGCAAATAGATAAGCATCAGTATGGAACAAAGAAGCTCCAGGTCCAGTAGTACTAGGAATGAAGAAGAGGCTACAGCCCTGACTTGAGAGAGCTGCATTAGAGCAGCATCCTCAGGGAAGAGCAACAGGGGAACATTCCCTTTCTGAAGCAGTAGATTCAAGTTTCTCATTATCTGAGTGCATTAAAAAATCTACTTTCCATTGAGGAAAGTTTCTTCCCTTTCTCATCTGTTCTCTGAAATATACAATTGAGTTTCTGATCTACTTCATTTCTTTCCACATGTCAAATTTTCAGAAAAGCTGTAAGTACAGGACAAAGAACTTTTTTTCCTGAGCCATTTAAGATTAACCACTTAAGGATAGTTTGCTACCATGATGCTCCATCAGCCCCAAATACTTCAGAATGTATTTCCTCCAAACAAGAATATTCTCCTACATAATCCCAATAACATCTTCGAAATTAACTGATATATTACCACCATCCTATTATCAGACCCATTCAAGTTTTGCTAGTTGTCCCAATAAAGTCTTTCATAGCAAAATGATCCAGTATGGAATTCTACATTGTAATTAGTTATGTCTCTTTAGTTTCCTTCATTCTGGAACAGTTCTTCCATCTTTCTTGATTTTCATGACCCTGACACTTTTGAAATTAAAATTTTGTTAATTTGTAGAATGTCCCTCAATTTGCATTGGTCTGAGATTTCATCATGATTAGATTCAGGATATGCACCTTTGACAGGAATATCTCAGAAGTGATGCTGCATTCTTATTTTATTTTATTTATTTTTTTATGTTGACATTGGTTAATGAAATCTGGTAAGTTTCAGCTGTACATTTTAACAGTAAGGCATATATATAGTTACATTGTGTGTTCACCTCCCATGGTTAGATTTCTTTCTTTCACAACATATGTGACCTCTTATACCCCATCTATCTCCCCTTTCCTCCCTCCCCCCTACCCTCTGGTAACTACTGGTCTATTGTCCATGTCCATGAGTCTCTGTTTGTTTGTCCTGTTCATTTGTTGCTTTTAGGTTGTGTTCCTATTTTATTAGGTGGCATTTCTATAATTAGGTGATTTCTATATTTATGATGATGTTAATTTGGATCATTTGATTAAGTCAGACTTCACTCTAAAGTTACTTTTTCCCTTTCAATTAATAAGTATCCTTTTCTTTGTCAAACTTCTGATTTGTTTATTCATTTCTATATATCATTATAGACTTATGGATTTTCATATTATTTAATGATGTTAATCCATTACTGTCATAATTTATTTTGGTGCTCAGTTCATCCCAGATATGACCACGGTAGCCTCTTCAAGCTAGCTTTTATGTCCTTTTGATGTGTCCCTCATTCTTTTAGCACTTCCTTACTTTCTGATATGAAAGGTGGCCTAGACTTTTCTTGTCCTATCTCTGCCCCAGCTCTGGCATCAGCCATTTCTCCAAAAGCCTTGGTTCCTTTTAGTGGAGAATATTTTAAAAAACAATATTTGGGACTGTGCCGTTCTTAGGCCTTTTGAGTGGACAGAGCTAGTGAATACATGTATGTATACATGAATATATTTACATATGCATATACAAATTTAACATGTCTTTCTTTATCTAAATATATAGTGAAAACCATGAGTTCACATCAGTATTTCTAATTTCAGTCCAGTACCACAGAATTCATTCTATATTTGTATCTTCTTTCTATATGTGTACATTCTTTTTCAGTCAATAAGAAATCTGACTCTTCTTATCTTAATATATTTTCTTTTTTGATTAGTCCCTTATATGTGCCAGCCTGTTGTCACTGTTTCCTCTCTCTTGTGGGCTACTTGGGCTTCAGCACCTCATGTCAGTTCACTACCTTATGTAGACATCCTCCTCACCCAACTTGGACTTGCTAAATCCTTGTGCCAAGAGTTATCTGAATGGATATTCTCTTCACCTTGGGCTCCATTAGAGTGTGTCAGGGTGCCACTGCCTACACTCACCCTCTCCCCTATATGGAAGTTTTTCGCATCTCTTTTGGACTGCTACACCATGTACCAGGCTCTCCACTGCAAGGACACCCTCCTCACCTAATTTGCGTTCCAGCCCCCCAGCATAGGTGCCCTGTCATGCAGTTGTCTTCCTAACCTTGCTTGGGCTCCCAATGCCTCCCTCTAAGTCAACCCTCCAGCTAGATTGCCCTCCTCTCCCTACGCTGATTCTGATACTTCACTCCAAGCTTCCCTCATCACCATGTGCAGGCTCAGACATCAGACCACCACTCCATGTGGACAAACCACCCTCCTATTCCAGGTGGATTCTGGACTTTCTGCCCTGAGGAGATAGATGCCTACCTTGCTTTGTCTCTGGCTTAAACATTTTCAGTTTTTTGACTGTTTCTCACATCATGTTATTTCTGGATGATAGAGTAACATGACACCTAACTTCAACAACCCAGAGGTAGACCAAACTTTACAGGTTAAGGATGTGGTCTTCCAAGAGACTACTCTCATTTCAGATACCAACTGCAAGTTCAAGGCTCCACAAACTACTCTTCCTTCTGACCAGCTGGCTATAAATTTGGGGCTCCTTTTATCTCCTCAGGTTTGATAATTTACTAGAACAACTCACAGAACTCAGGAAAGCATTCTGCATGTTTTACAGTTTTATTATAGCAAAAGGATAAAATCAGAGCCAGTCTAAAAAGAAGAAATGCATAGGACAAGATCTGGAAGGGTCATGGATTTGTGAAGCTTTTGTTCTCTCCTCATGGATGCATTACTTTCCCAGAAAATTGATACATGACAACATATATAGAGTATTGCAAATCAGGGTAGCTCAAGCTTCAGTGTCCAGAATTTTTACTGGCATTTTATTACACAAGAATGATTGGATCATTACCCACATGGCTCAGTCTCCAGGAAGTAGGGCTTACATCTGTGGTTCAAAGCTTCAGCTCTCTAATCGCGTGGTTGGTCTTCTGGTGTGGCCAACTCCGTTCTGGTTCTGAGTAATCATCTCCTATGCAGAAGCTATCTAGGGGCCCATCTTGAGTTACCTCATTAACATAAACTGTCAGGGCCCACCATAAATATCAGAGACATTCCTGTCATTGGGAAATTCTAAGAATTTAGAGGCTACCTCTCAGGAATCAGAGATAAAAACTAGCCAGATTCTTTATTCCAAGGATTTAGAGGTTACTTCTCAGCAACCAGGACAAAGACAAACCAAATTCTTTACTCTGCAAGCTATAGAAAACTAAATTGCTTTCTTCTGTAGCATATATGTCAATTTTTTACTCTTAAAAAAGTTACCTCAAGATTACCTTATTTACCTTCTCAGATGAAGATAAGTTGTACAACTTAATAATTATTACAATGTACTTGTCCATTCATTTTTTACCATAGAAATTAATAAACTTTCAGAAATGTTATAATACTGCTATATAAAATGATAATGGCGTTGGAGTAATATAATCAAACTTACAGTGTTTTAAAGTAAAAATCTTAATTTACTTGTATTTTATTTTGCTCTTTTATCTGTCAATTGTATATCTTATTTGTTTTAGGTATGACTTTAGCCTTTCCAGCTTCAGTTCATGATTCTCTGATTTGCAGTAAAACATTTCAAATTCTATATAAAAATGAGGAGGTTGTTTTAAATGATGTTATGATCTTCAAAGTTAAAATGTTGTTGGATGAAAAAAAGGTAAAAATTTCTTCATATATATTTAAATATTGTTTGTAAAATATCAAGGCATATTTTTAACTTTCTATTAATATTTGAAAAGAACTTTTTATTGTAATTTCTCTTCAGATTGAAGAAACCCTTGAGGAAATGAGTTTTCTGTTATCCCTGGATCTACACTTCACTGATGGAGATTATTCGTAAGTAGGCTAATCAAACAGTTAAAAATCCTTAGTTTCTCAGACTGTTATCTGTTAATATTAGAGTCCTCATTTTCTTCTTAGAATCCAGCCTATCCCCTTCATACTTATTTATAAGCTACTTCTATCTTCTGAGGGAGTGTCATGAGAATGGTTAAGCCTGCTCTTTTGTGCCCATGCTGATTCCATGAGCTCCAGGTAGCAAAATTAGACAAGTTAAAGAAATATGAAATGATTTCCTGAACTCTAGAAATTGCACTGTCGATATAATACCATTGCCATGAGGCATTTAAATATGATTGAGCTCTCTTCCACGTTATTACTGGCTAATATTTTAATGGCGAGAGTGACACCTTCTTTAGGTGGGATTTTTTTGATAGACTTGTCAAAACCGATGACTCTTACACCTAGCAGTTGTTTCTAGTTCATTAATTTCTAGAGCCCTTGAGGAGCTTTTAGGATTGGCTACCCTGAACTTGCCCACATATCTGGACATACATTTTAGGGACAAATTGTGCTTGTATTCATTTAAGATAGGAATCACAGATCCATTTAACAATTTTATTTTTGAAGGGTTTTTTTTCTTAATTTCAGTTGTAGAAACACTTCTTGAAAATTGTATATAAATTAAGACTGCTCGTAGGATAAATAACTAAGCAGTCCCATTACTGAAAGTTCTACTTGAGGTGTCCTCTTTACTATCATAGCGGAATAAGAATTTTTTTTACATGGTAGCTACTGCTCCTCTGTAATACCTGTTTATTAAAAAGACTTCTTTAAGGGATTCTCTTTGAAACCAAGTCAGAATTCTACAAGTGGAGTAAGCTGAAATGAGTAAGTAATTTATTAGTTATAGATAGTTACAATGTGTGTATGTATGGGTTAAAATATATGTGTGTGTATGTGTATATACACACACATACATATGTATATGTATATATATTCGGATATAATTCTTATGGAATTGTTTCATATATTTTGTATGTGTAAATCTAATGACAGGCTAAATATCTATAATGAAATATTTACCAGTGGTTTGCTATTTCTAAGAAGCATTTAATGACAAGATTTTGTACTGTACTGTAAAAATAATTTTAAATATTGTTTAAGATTTATTTTAATTGGATTTGACCTACGTTATACTGCAATCTTATAATAAACAGTATCTCTATGGAAGAAATACTTAGTATAAAATGAGATTAGTTCCTGAAGTATCAAAAAGGACTCATTTTATAAGGACATTAGTGAAAAAACAATCCATGTCATGGGCTGATAGAAATCTATAGGTAGGCTCTTATTGTTAAATTTCCTATTGTTTCTAATACAAATGTTATGTTTTAAAATTATTCTCATTATCAATTTTTAAAAAATAATTAAGTAACTAAATGTTTAAATAGTTTAAACTACTCTACAAAATATTCTGTACTTAGGTGCAAATATGTTGTTTTTTTATAGGGCAGATGATCTGAATGCCTTGCAACTAATAAGTAGCCGAACACTGAAGCTGCACTTTAGCCTCCATAGAGGTCTTCATCATCACGTTAATGTTATGTTTGATTATTTCCACCTTTCCGTTGTGTCCGTTACAGTCCATGCATCTTTGGTTGCATTACACCAGCCACTAATAAGGTAAATTTAACCAGTACCCCTGGTCCTGATTAATGTAGTGTCTTTTATTTTTACAGTGAAAACACATACTTTGATAAAGATAACTGAAACAGAAAGAAATTTCTCAATTCACAATTATTTAATAAATACTTTCATTTTATACTAAAATATTTAAAGTTAAGAGCATGGGAACATTAGATTAATAACTTTTTTATTACAGAAATATGAAGCAATCTTTCTCAAATAAATTGACCAAGAAAAATAATGCAATTCAGAAATAACCATACAGCATTGTTTAGTCTATACCTGTGTTTTTATGCAGTGTTATACTAAAATTATTCATTCTCTAGAGAAGCATATTCATTTTTTTCTTAGGTTTTTTGCTTGTCTCTTCTCTGAATAGACTAATTTTATATTTTTAAAATATATATCATACAGTAATTCTTATTTACTAAGTCACTAACCAATTTTATGGATCTTTACTAAAAGTGTTCCTATGTGTCATGATATAATTTTAAAAGAACATAAAATTCTGGATCATAATAAATGCATTGGGATAATTATTTTTTTCTGCCTACTTCCATGTGGAGACAATTGTCTTTCATTGATGTAAGAATACAATTCAGGCTCTTTAATTTTTACAGTAAAACATCATCCTTGTGGTGTGGGCCACACGTGGACACTTTTATAATCAGTAACTTATATGAAAAGACTTCAAATTAATTTGATTTGTGAACTTTATGCAATTTCTGACACAAATCTGATTCTAACAACTGATACTAGGGATGTTGCTTAAGGGTTATGATGTTAAATTAATTTATCAGAAAATGAAGTAGGTAATTTTGTAGAATTATCTTCAGAAGTTATAAAAGACCAACACAATTTAACAAGTAAGAGCTTCCTGTGGCATATCTATACATTGTTTTGAAAACTGTTAAGAACCTCTTCCATTGTGTTATCCCATGACTTCTTTTAGAGCACAGGGCCAGGAAGAAATCTATTTGATGACTTGCTTTGCTCTCCTTATTCTAGTTCTAGTTCTCTAGTAAGTAGCTATAGTTGTTTTGCCAACTATAGATCTAGTTCTCTAGTAAGTAACTATAGTTGTTTTGCCAACTTTGTCTTACATCTTAGGCCTTTGAGAGATTGTTCTCAGTTGCTATAACTTCTGTAAATAGAAAAGTGTTCCTATTATATATAATTTTATCATAAACTTCAAAAAATTTTTGGGTGTTGATTGAATAAATTAAAATGTAATAACATGATAACTGAATGAAACTTCTCAGAAAAGAAAGTGGTTTTTTGAAATATAACTTTCAAATAAGTAGTATGTATTACTTTTATGTGAATTACGTGTTAGGTTTTAATGCTAAAAGTTTGTTTATAAAATATATTCCTGTAGTTTTCTGAATCTCCAATTTTTAATTTTCAGTAAGAATCCCTAACTAAACTATTTCAACCATTTCTTTTTCTTTATAACACTGGCTTAGTATTTCTTCTGAAAAATATACAATTCACCGAGGTTAGCGTGGGTTATTAATGTTGCTTTTCAAAGCCGCGAATAGAGCAGGTATATTCATATCACTAATCCTATTGAGTTAAATGTGTGCTTCCTCTTGCAACGCAGCAGTTTTTGCCACAGACTATTAGGAGAAAGGGAGAGCTCATCTCCTAGAGACTATTTGCTGGAAGGAGAAGACATTTTTGACTCAGAATCAGAAGCCAAGAGGATTAACTGTTGGCTCTGGTTAGTGACTAAAAAAGAAAATGAGGTGCCTGCAACAGCTGAGGTTCTGTTCTTTACCTAGCTACCATGAACCCTGATATCTCCTCTCTTGCTGCTAGAACTTTGCCCTGAAAAAAGCAACATCTTTCCCTGCCTTTCTTTGCCTGTAAATGAGAGGTTGGAAAAAGGAAGCAAGGAAAGGATAAAGGAAAGCTGTTTGGTGGTGGCGTGCTGGTAGAGGGGTCATGTTAAGGGTAACATTCCTCACTATTTATGCTTTGACAAGTTTTTCCTGAAGTTTTATTATAGGTGGATTTTTTATCCTTTAAACAAAATGGGAAAAAAAGTTAATTTACAGTATTATCTTTTTAAATGTTATTTTTATTTAAAACAATGTCTATGATCAACCCAACTATAGACATTAAATCAATTTTGTAAAGTAAGTGGGGTTAGGATTTCTTTCTTTCTTTGTTTTTTACATAACCTGTTTCTTATATTTGAATTCTTTTAAGTACAACTTTTGTGACTCAATTCTGAAAAGCATATCGTAGCAAGCGGAATTTACCATTGACTTGCAACTCCCTTCTTTGCTGGGGTATAGGTATTTTATTTTCGCAAAGCAAATTGATTTTGCAAATGAAAGCTGCTCTCTGCTTATGGAAAAATTGATTTACTTTTCTGTCTTTTCCCTTTTGCCAAACTGCCAAACAGTCCAAATGCTTTGGCCTACTTTTAATCAGCTAGTACTTTCTTGCAAATAAAATTATGTATGATTTTTAAACTTTCAAACAGAGTAGGCTTCTTATTCTATAGCATTTATGGTATATTAAATGTAAAGTTAATATTAACAGTTGTTCATATAATATGTGATTGAGATGGTGCCTTGAAGCACTTAAAAAGATCATCTTTAGAGTTCATATCCTTTTAATGAAGAGAAAGGAAATATCTTGTTTTTGAGAAATAGAAGCAACAAGTAGATTTAGTAATTTTTCTTTTTCTACATTTATATGAGAGCTCTTTACTTCTGTAAGTAGCACCTGTATTTGATTAAGTGTTAACTTTATAACGTTGGCAACCGGTTCTGACAGACCAGTATTTCCAAATGAAAACTTACTCTCATCTGTCTTTTAGCTAGTCTGGATCCCACTCTGTTTTATCTTTAGGATCCTTTTAGAATCCATGAAGCCCAATCAGAGAAGTAACCTCAAGCATCTAGTTTTTTTAATATCCATTGTGTCTTTTCATAATAATTCACATTATTAAAGGAATAATTACTTTAAGACTACTTTAGAAATCATAATCTTGCAAAACTTTTGCTCTTTATTCTATTCTTGTGAGATTTTTTGTGGTAAACATTTAACAGTCATATAGCCTGTCGTGACAATAATAATGTAATATTTATTCCTCCAGCTTTCCTCGCCCCGTGAAGACTACTTGGTTAAATAGAAATGCACCAGCACAAAACAGAGATTCTGTGATTCCTACTCTTGAAAGTGTGGTCTTTGGTATTAACTACACAAAACAGTTATCACCAGATGTAAGAACTGATGTTTATAAACTGTTTCTTCTTCTCCTCCTATTTTGAATGAAATGGGTTTTTTTATTTTTTACTGCTTTATCTGTGAATGTGATATTTCCGATCTTAAGAAATTGTTTGGTTCCAGTGGTCTATTGTGAAAACTTAACCTGCTCCTTTAAGATTTTATCAAATTTAACAAATAGAGATCTTTGACAGCTAGTGCCTTTTAACTTGCTATTGGTACCACTTGTTCCCTTAACAGAACTGGTAGAATCATGCCAAAGGAGCTTGCCTGCAAAGAACGATTACCAGAATTGAGACCCAACTTGCAGTAGTACAAGTATAGCCATTATACTCCTAAAAGGAGAGGAGACTTATATTATAAAAGCAGAGTGTCTGTCCCTCAGTCCAAATGTAATTTGAATCTTAAATTTTCTAAAATCAAAATTTAATCTGCTCGTTTTAAAAGTCCACTGTAACTGAAATTTCTAGAGTTGATTTCATGTGTTTAAATTACTTGTATCAACAAGAGCAACTCCTTAAAATATTGCTGAATTTATTTGTTTTAGGATAATTGTAAATTGTAAATGCTTAGGAATTTTTTCCTGAATTTCTCTAAGTTTCAAATGTAATATTTTTAGAGTTTTGGTTACTAACAGTCTAAATGCCAAATCTATTCTTTATTTAGGGTTGCAGCTTCATTATTGCAGACTCCTTCCTACATCATGCCTATCATTTTCATTATACACTTTGTGCCACTTTGCTGCTAGCCTTCAAGGGATTGCACAGCTACTTCATTACGGTAACAGAAGAGATTCCCTCTTGTCAGAAACTAGAACTGGGTATGTTAAAAGTAGCCAGACCTTTCCTATAGTTCAAGTCATTCTCTTCATTCTCACATTGCTAGTTATCAGCTTTGCTATAGTTTTTATGTACTAAACCCATAATGTGCCTCACTTTTATTTCTCTCTCAATTCCATTTTTTCTGTCTAATTACTCTCTGCAATTAAAAATTTTTCTATGATATTGAGAAATATTGAGAAATAACTTCTTGGTGCCAAGTTTGAAATGAGTCTTGATAGGTTTTTTTTTTTTAAAAGCATATGTTCATATACACTTATTTAAAATTCCACTGTAACTGAAATTACTAGAGTTGATTTCATGTGTTTAAATTATGTGTATGAACAAGTAATTTAAACACACTCCTCATCAAATATAACCAGAAAGCATACTAGAAAGCAAATGTAGTTATCTACAGAATCATGGGAAGATAAATTAATCTATACTTCCAAATATTTAACAATCTTCACAAAGTATAGATACTTGGGACATTTTTATATACATTTGGTTTTAAGCTATCTCAGATCTTATTTCTTTTATCGCATGTCAGAATAACAACATTACTCAGTCCTAACATTTTGAAAATTATTTAAATCATTAAAAAATTATTTAGTTTTAGTCTAATAGTGTTTTCTGCATATACTTTGTAGTAGGTAATAAAAAACATATTGCCTCGATTTTATATATCATTTGTAGTTTGCAGAATGCTTTTACATATATATTTTCACAGAAGATAAATTACTGGGATTAGCAAAAATAAGTTTTTATTTAGATTTTTAATGATAGCTTTTATAAGCTTTTATTTATAAATACCAGCTAATAGCTCATCATAAAAAAAATTTTAATTATCACTTTAGAATAAGTTATTTTTATCATTATATACGTGAATAAATCAGGAATCACTTTCCAAATTTTACTTAAATTAATTGGTGTTCTCGATTTATTTCTTTGTTCCTCAGACATCTCAGTCTTTTAACAATATCGATAAACTCAAAAACTCACTTACTGAAAGTAATTCTTAGGTTTGAGACTAATTAGCCTATTTTTATAATTGCCTATTTTGGGATACAAAAGAATTGTAAGAAAGTGTAATGATTTGTACCTCACTTAAATTCAGCTGTGAGAATGCTGAATATTGTGCCACTGCCTATCAGCAACTAGTCCAGTGGATTTGATTAATTCCATTATTCACTCTATTCAGTTCACACATCGTTGACTTGAATAGAAACAAGATATCAATTGACTGTTTAGATGCTTGATGCAAAAATCTCATTGTGTACACAGATAGGAAAATGTGTTCTTTTTTGCTCATGTATTCTTCCTCAAGACAAAATGCTAGTGTGAAAATCTTTTGATTACTATTCTCTGAAATATTTTTTTTCCTTGCTATTTCATATACTTAGAATCCTTCTATTTCCTTTAGGAAAAAAATCCTTTCAGAGACTACTGCCTCAAATTTAAACTGTTCTGATTTCAAAGTGAATTTTTTTTTGTAGAATAGAACTAATTTAGGCTTTCACTTATCCTCAATTAATGGAAAAATTTTGCTCTATATATTTTTTAATTTGAGTCTTTGGAACACAAACATATTTTCTTAGAAGAATTATCTCATAAATGTTTGGTTAGCTTAGGTTTAATGACCAGACCACAAAACTTAAACTACGATATTAATAAAGGACAATATCATGTGACTGAAAAGTAGTGTTATAAAAAATAGCAGTGTTAAACTTAGAACCCATGTGTACTGGCATTTCTATAAGAAAATTTGTCAATAGTTTCAATGTTGAATGCTGTAGAATTCATGGAGGCATTATCTTGTAGTGCTTAAAAGTGCATGTTTAGAGCTATTTTTGTCACTTACTAGCTTTGAGGCTGTATATACAAAGCAGATTCCATTCAAAAGATGGGGAAATTGAAGGGAACCAGATGTCCAAAGGCAGAAGGTGTAAAGGAGCTCTAGGAGTAAGACTTCTTTTTCTTCAATTACAGTTGACATTAACTATTATTTTATATTACTTTCAGGTGTACAGCATAGTGGTTAGACATTTAAATAATTTATGAAGTGATTCACCCACCCCTTGATTAGTCTAGTCTGGCTCTATACGTAGTTATTACAATATTATTGACTATATTCCCTATGCTATACTTTATATCCCTGTGACTATTTTGTACCTAACAATTTGTATGTCTTAATCCCTTTACCTTTTCACCCAGTCCCCCAACCTCCCTCTCATCTGTATCCAGCAGTAAGACTTCTTAATGATATAATTTTCTTGGGCTTTTTATGAGCACCCGATTTGTCAGGTACTGAGCTAGGTGCTGAAAAAAGAATAGGATCTCTGTCTTTAAAGATTTTTGACTTTTCCCTTTCTCTTAATAAATAATCTGTTCAGCAAGATAACCAAAAGAAACTCATCCAGCAAGACAGGGCTTCTATGAATTTAATGTACAGAGTCATATATGAGATGGGCCCATAAATGCCTGAATAAGGAAGATGTCTATCATTATGTAATTTACAAATAGGTTTATATTTGCAAATGAAAAGAAAAAAAACCAACCACATTTTAACCTAAAAAAAAATTTTTCTAAAAGGAAGTAATGTTGAAAGAAAACAAGCATCTCTATTCAAAGGCAAAGATTTCACATAGCTTAGACAATATTAGCACTTTGTTACTAATTAACTTCAGTCTGTTGATTCATTTATTTATAAGCTTTTTAATTTTCTCAGGTAGGGCTTCCTTTTATTCATATATATTACTTTGGCTTATGGATTTAATGTAGAAAGTATAATCAAAAGAGCCCTTATATTTAATTTTAGGTGTCAATTACTAAATGAATGTCAGCTTTATTCCAAGTTATTTGCTTAATATATGTTTTCAGAAAATAAAATTCAAAAGCAAACCTAGACTTTGATAAGTAAATAATAGCAATAGAATAAAGTTATTAGTACCTAATAGATAATATTTACTCAAAACATATTTGTTGAATGAGTGAACGAATGAATAGAACAGCACAATACAGTTTTTGTTGTTACTTGAAAAATATATAAGTATCAATATATATCTTATAGCAGTTTCCTAGGGATTTTTAAAATCAAGACTGATCTTCAGTAAATATTTATTGGTAATATTTTGTGTTTCCTTAAATTTTTCATTACTATTTATATTTTGTTTTTATTATGAATTTTAGTTTATTCTTGACTGCATCTTCTAGGAGAACCTTTAAAAATACTATTAACTATTCCAAATAAAACTACTGAATATTTTGAACCATTAACATTGTTTATTTTTATCGTAGAAAAATTAAATTGCAGGCACTAGATAACATTTCCTTAAAACTCTGTTGACTAAACATCATTATAGTCACCAGTTTTAATAAGTGGACTTAAAGTAGTTCTTTATTATAGGATGTATTGTATTTTCTTTTACTATTTAGCATTTTTCTTGAGTTTTCAAGTAAGTATATATTTAAAAGTTTTAAACTTCACTATGCTTTGAAAAATATACCTAAACTCTAGTCTCTTTTTAAAAATAATGCCTCAGATTCCTTTCTGCTTTTGCCTTTTACTTTTCTCCTAGATGAATGATGTACATTTTTTTGATGACATATAGTTCAGTATTGGTTTGGTGCAAGCAGCTCTTACTGAAAATGGGAGTCACAAGTTCTGAAATCTGGGATTTGGCAAGTGTTGCAACCTCTCTGGGCCACGGTATCTACACTTGCAAAAACAGGGGTTTCATTTAGGTGATCTCTGATATCCCTGCCAACCCTAAAATTAAGAGTCTAAGAAATTAAAACATAAAAATACAGATTATGAAGAGTTGAGTGGTACATATAAATAGAATCAAGAACAAAGTAATATAAACTTGAATGTACATCATTTGTAATTCTAATAAGCTAATTAACTAAACAATTCTGCTTTAGTCTCCTAATCTAACTGCACTATCAGATCAATGCTAGTCTATTAATAACAACTTGGAAAATTCTAGTAAATTTTGTTTTAAAAGGAGTATAGTAACTAGTGCTGTGTGCAATCCTTATAACTAGCCAAGGCCAACATGCAGGTCCTTTATGAACGCCTTCTCAGAAGAAAACAGCCAGGAACCCAGAAAGACACCTGTCTAGGTATGTTTACAAATAGGTTAAGTAAATAATCCCTTTTAATTAGTATGAAATTTTGTTTTAAATTAGTGTCAAATTTTATAAATATGTATTTATTAATATAATATGTTTCTACCACCTTTATTTAAGAAACTTACTTTTAGAATCAATTTGGTTCGTAGATAAGCTTCGGTTAATTTCTTAATTAATTTGTAATATTGAAGTTTTTTTAAAAAACTGGAAATGATAAATGTAAAGATTTCTTTGACTTTTTCCATATTCTTTTTAGAGTTCCTACAAAGAACACTTTTTTGAAACCATATTTATTGCCAGAATTTGTTGGTTTAATGATACAGCCCTAAATTTGTCCAAAGTCAGTTTACCTTTGGGTACAGCTAATGGTAATGAAATGTGTTTTAAAAACTGAGGCTGATTTCATCCATTACAGAAATAAAGAGAAACATTTTCAAGCATCTGGTTTTTTGTGTCGATTTGCATTTTTTTTATTGATTTAAATTTTAAAAGCAAAGTAATATCAAATCACCACTATTCAGATTCGTTAGATATTTTAAAAGAAATATTTTAATCTCATTTTATTGATATATTTCCCTGTATATTTTAATCTTTTATTCTTGAATAGCAATAGGACAATTTACTATCTTTCCACAAATATACTGAGTTTTTACTTTGTGTTGACTAGACCATCATAATTACATTTTTTAAAGTTATGAAAAGCTATAGAAATAAAAAATAAAATTCCAATGTTTCTTAGTTTTTAGGAGTATGAAAAAAGGAAATCGAGGAGCCAAAATCTTTCTCAACATTTCTCAGGTTAAAACGAGCTCAGAAATATTTAAGTTGGATCAGTTTTCACTAAAACGTAAGAGAGAAACTGATTTTCTAATCAGAAGAAAAAAGAACGATTGACAATGTATTGTGATCATTATTTTAGAATATAATTTTATATTCTCATATAAAGTAACTAAAATTAAAGAATTCATAGTATGATATTGTGGTCATTTGTGACGTGTGTTAGTGTTCTTTTTAGCAATAAACATATACTCACTTAAACTATTGTATTGTCAGCCTATCAGTTTACATGTGAGCATTCTAAATAATTTTATAGAATACTGCTTATATAATGAGGCTTATATAAAGAAAGGCCCAGCTTGGGATTGGATGGAAAAAGACTTGATTCAAAACTAAAGTATACTGAAGTTAATTAAATAATACTTTTATTGAGATATCTTTTATTCTTACCAGCTACTATCGTACTGGCATTTTCTGAGCTATGTTGTCAATATCTGTTGAATGAACAGATGAATGGAGGAATGGATTTTGAAAATAAATTTAAGATACATTTACACTTTGACCTAGCAACCCCACTTTTGTTAACTTATATCATAGAAATAAGAGTACTAGCATAAAAAGATGCATGTACAAACATGTTTATTGCAATATTGTTAGTGGCAAAACATTAAAAACAAAGATAAATGTCCATCATTCGACAAAGAGTGGACTAGGGAAGAAATTATAAGGATCTTACACCAAGGAAGATTATGCAGCTATTTAAAAAAAAAATGCTTTAAGACCATATACCAAATTTTCAAGGAGTACTACTGAAACCAAAAAAAAAAATTTGCAGAGTGTGTAAAACAATCCTCTTTTTGTAAAACAGTGACTCCAAAACTCATACATGCTTATGTATGTATAGTTGAAAAATATGGAAGGATATATTTTAGGCTGTAACCTTGAATTAAGCAAGAGGAACTAAAAAATGAATTTACATAAGATCACATTTATACATTTCTTTAATATGTCATTTTAAAAAGAAAAATTAGTTAAAATAGAATTTTAAACTCAGGTGAAACTCCTAAATGATTGTGAAATCATTTCAGTGCAAAGATTTTGAAGTTTTGCTTTTAAACATTCTTTAAGATGTTATTTACATTGAAGAAGCTCTCATTAGCCATAATGAAATGTACCAGTTTATGCATTTAGGATCTTGTATATAAAAATCAAAAAAATGTATCAAAACTCAAAACTTTTTTTATTTTTCAAAGTAAGTAGGATATGTAACTATTAACTTCACTGATTTTCTTCTATTACGGAAAAAGATCATTAGTAATGTGAAAACTAAGATACTAGCATATGAAAGTTATTATTTTAATACAGGGTTTAGTGCAATTTTTTTTAATTTTGGAAAACAGTATTAGAAACCACTGATTAATCGAACAATAGAATAATTTGTGAAGTCTTAGCAGATTTCTTTAGTTATCAATAGATTGAATAAATTTGTGATCTTTTTCTAATATCATACTAATATCTGAATATAGTTTTATTTGTATATTTTGTGAGTTACAAAATATATGTGTATCCTACTGGTTTTAGTTACCAATTGAATATCTGTTATTCACATATTTGGTTGTTATTTACCACGTAATTGTAACTGCTTATTTTTATCAAATTTAAATATTTATCATTCTCTGTATCAAGTATTTAACGTTCAGTCTACCTAATGAGATAATGAGCTGATGAGTGAATTCAGGGATGTCATAGAAAGTATTCTTGCCCTTTGTGTAAGAGTGATAAATTAAGCTCTATTTCAGCAACAAGATTATGGAATTATGTGTGATCACAGCTATGCTGTTTTTTTTAGGAGAACTCATTTTGGTTTGATTCTGAATAAAAGTTAAGTATATTTCAGACCTTAGGGAAATTCCTTTCCTAAAAACAAAAACAAATAACTCAATTCTGTTGGTTTCTGTATTCCCTTGTAATTATTACCACTTTAGTTGTAAATTAACCTGTACATCCCTTTAAATATGGTTGTAGCATACATTAAATATATCAGATCATATGGAAAATTTTAGCCTCAGTTTTAGATTATGTTATAGAAATCTAAATAGTAAACTAAATTAGAAACTTACTTTTTATTGAAAAGGATTTCGTCAGTTATTTTCATTAAATAGTTTATACCCCAAGTATGTTTTAAATATATTTTGGTTATAGAAATTTATTTGACTTGAATTTTTTAGGAATAGCTTTTCTAAAAAGCAAGTCGTATAGCCATGTAACCCAAAATACTAAGCTTTATTGGAATTTAAAATATATGAAATGCAATAAAACCTAATTATATGTTTTGTCTTTTCTGTGATGAAGTCATGCAAGTTACTTTAGGTATATAGTTATTATTTCCCAGACTATTTAGCCTCTTATGAGAACTGAAACACTATTTAATAATCAGAAGATAGAATTTAATAATTATCATATAACCTACATGATTAATGTTTTTATGAAAATATGTTGAAATTTAATTCATTGAATATAGTCAATATTTCTCAAACCTCTGGTTTTTAAAATTAATTTCATTTATATAATTTCAAAATTAGTTTTCAGATCTAACATTGAAATACTTCTTCTAATTACTCTTTAATCCTTTCAGAGGACATGGATGTAGAAGCTCGGCTTACTGAATTATGTGAAGAAGTTAAGGTACTTGGATTTTTAAGATTCACATTATCACATTATTTAAATGGATTCTGTTTCCTATTCTAAAAATTTTGTCTAAGAAAACTTAATTGATTATCCTTCCTAAAATGCAAAGATGAAATTATTGATCATGGTAGAACCATAGCTTAGTTGATCAAAAGACATTTGACTTGAGCATGAAGTTAAATTATCTTTATAATACATATTATTCTGCATATAAGTGAAATAGCAAAGACAATTAACTGATCAAAAGTGTGCTTTTTCTTCTGTTAGTTTACTCAAAGAATTTCTGGGCAAATTTTTAAAGCATCATTTAAACTTAACCTATTTTTGTAAAATGATATTGTTTAGAAATGAAAAATTTGTTTTATTTCAACAGATCAAATTGTTGTACAACCTTTAAAATGATGCTTTTCAACAAATGTTTGATAATGTAGGAAAATGCTTATATTGTGATTTCAGTGAAAATAGTATAAAACTATATATGAGTAGCTTTTTCTATGTATAACTGAAAAAAGTTGAAGACTATACACTAAAATGAGCTTTATTTCTTCTTTTTTTCCCCCCTTTTTCCAAGTCTATTAAAGTAAGCACTATTTTATAATCAAACAAGATCAGTGAATGAATGCTATGAAAAAAAGTATATTCTGTGAAAGACAATGAATGGTATTTGAAAAAACAAGATACAAATGTTAAGATCTTACTATTCCTATATCTAAACATATAAAAGATCTCAAATTTAATTCTAATTTCCTTTTTAACATAAAAAGCATTTTCATTATATTTTAAGACTTATTGTAAAGATTTATGTAAACCAGAGGAGTAATCTATTTATACTTGAAGGGATGCTTTCCCAATAATGAAAATACTAAAGTCCCCTCTCAGAACTGTGGTACCATGATCCCTAAGAAATAAAATTAGTAATTGCAAGGTATCTAGATAGCCTTGCTCTCAGGACAAGGAAAAAAAAAAAAATAGAGTTGTATACTTTATTCAGCTTAAGGTCAGGCCAAGAGAATTATTTCTGTTCGTATGTAGATTGTACTAGATACAGTGTTGCTTGCCTTATGCAATGCTATCTAATCACTCTCAAGTGCTTATCTAAGTCCTCTTTTTCTAAACTTTGTTTAAACCATTCTTGGAACAATACTTCAGGTTTCAGCTTATTTTATAGTGCATTTTAATCTTCTTTGTGTTCTTAAGAGAGACATGAAAATCTTGTTAGCTTCATTTCTAATACAGTTGTAAACCCTTCTTTGGGGCAAAACACATCTGTAGATCATTTATGAATCAGTATTTAGCATATATTTATTAGCTTCCATTCCAGAATTCTGATATTTGTCAACATTTTCTGAGTTTGTCCATGAGTTCTGAGAGCTTTTTCCTTATCTGAAGCCTATAATTCTTTATTTATTCCTTCATTTATTCATACAGTAAATAATTATTGAGTGACAAGTACGTATCAATAACTGGAGTCACAAAAAGTGTATAAAACACTATCCCTTCTCTTATTTCTAATTCTGCTGAATTTTTGGTTAATGTGTTCTTTGAGTTAGGGTAGATAAATGGAAACTTGGTTTGGCTGGGTGAAGAAAAGCAACGTTTTGGGGATTGGGGGCTTTTTTTTTTTTTTTTTAGAAAGATAGAGTGGAGATATAATTAGTACAATTTCTGACATGTTGAACTTGAACAACTTTCTTTTCATATCCAAGTATAGTAGGTAATGGGTCTAGATGTCAGGAGGCATAGGATCCAGAAATATAAATAGCCATCCTTGGTATATAGATGATAATTGAAACTATGGGAGTGATTTTCAACTTCAACCTGAATAGACTATGTCTACCTTCTTTAGGGTAGAGAAATAAAATCAGCATCTATCTATATATTTAAAGTAGATTTCCTAGTTACTAGTAATTGAATTATCTTCAATTGTCTTCAGTTTTTACAGCAAGATATTATCTTCCTGAAAACTGACTTGCTACTTCAGTGAATTAAATAATAAAAATGCTTATCCAAAAGAGAAACAGTCATTCTGATTTATAGTCTTTTATTATTCTTTGTTTAGAAATCCTTATTTTATCATTCAAGGAAACCAAATTCCTTTTAAAAGATTGTGTTTCATAGTACAATCTGGCACTTTTATCATCAGTTTAGGTGAATATTTAAATAAATGGGATAATTTAATACCATTGTTAGAACATTCATAATAATATAATTGTTTACCCACTTTTCTTTCCTTACTAGTGAGCTACAAATTAATCTTTGTAGCTATAGAATGTAGGCCCTAGCATTGAAACTATGCTCAATAAATAGTAGATGGATGAATTGTTAGAAAAGAGAAAGAAAGAAGTATTTGACAACTCTGTAAAAGAATTACCACAAGCACTGTTGGAGGCAGGGGTACTTGGGCCTGCTGAAAAATGGTCTTCTAGTCTTGAGTGAGAAGCTTATTGTGGGCATGGCTTGGTATGCCTACAGAGTGAAGGCAAAGCATGGGGCAAACTTTGAGGCTCAGAACCACCTGGGGGGCTTGTTAATTCCCAGGTCTCTGGGCCCCACAATCTGATACAGAAGGTCTGGGAAGAGGCCTGGGAATTTGCATTTATTACAAATTCCCAGGTGATGCCATTGCTGCTGGGGGCAGAAAGGGGGACACACTCTCTGTAAACCACTGCATAGACCAGTCCCACAAATTAGTAAATGAAGTTTGGTTGAATGATAATCCTCTATACAGTCTTTCTCCCATTTAACAAATGAGCACTGCTACTTATTTTAAATTAAGCAGGAAAAGCATAAATTGTTGTCATATATACATTTTTAAGTGATATATTGTGTTCGGTTTAGGGATTGACTTGACTAATATAGAGAGGGAAATTTATGTATTAATTACTAGAAATTAAATTACTGCTTTCGTGGGGGAAAAAAATTGACACAAGCAAAATAGAGCCTAGGAACATGGGCATGAGAGGAAAGAAGTACTTTAGAAATTATGCAGTCCTTTCTGAGGAGTTACATATCCTTTAAGTACTTTACTTGGCTGATTGGAGAAAAAAGTCCTATTTTAAGATTTCATTAGCTTTCAAAAATGTTATAACTTTCATCATGATTTGTTTATTGTGTTTAAAATTCCCAGTATTTTAGTGTTTGAGGTTGATCATGCTCTATAAAACCCTGATTTATAATTTTAGACTATATTTGACATTATTACAGTTACACGGTATCTCAGATATTGAGATATTGGGTTAAGTTGTTGAAAATTGCTAGAGTATCTATGGAATAGAAAAAAGCCATTGATCAGTTGGTCTCTCTTTCCATACATACACATTTCCTTTTAAAACTAATAATTTGCGTCTATTAATATTCTGAATAATATATTAGATATGTTATGGTAAATCTCAGAACAGTGAAGGGTTTTTTCTTGTCATTTCAGAAAATAGAAAACCCTGACGAACTGGCAGAACTTATAAATATGAATCTTGCACAACTTTGCTCACTTCTAATGGCTTTATGGGGACAGTTTCTGGAAGTTATAACACTACATGAAGAACTGAGACTATTATTAGCACAACAGCACCATACTCTGAGGGTAAGTTAAAGAAAAGTGATGTTACAGCATCTTAATGAGTATTATATTTAGAAATTTCTTATGAATAAAAAGCATGATTTTTACCTTATACAGTGGTAAATCAGAAAAGAGACTTATTTTATTGTTTTAGTCCTAAAATTCATAATAGAATAATACAGTTGAGCACATGACCTTTCTTAGTTAACAACCCCTGCTAGTAAGAAAAAATTACTCAGATATATATAACATAGGAAAATATATGATACAGGATAGCCTCTGGAGCCCAAGAACAGGAATTATAGACAGGTCTCACTGGATACAGAAATCAAGAACTAGAAATACATCTCAAACTAAAATAGAATATCTCTCTCCATCTTTTTCTCCTTTCTCCACCTCTCTTTTTCCCTCACCTCTTATAGGGACATGTATTATGAACTAGGCAGGGTCAGGGGACTGTCTAGACATACATGTTTGCTATAAGCCTAGTATGCACGTTATGCAGAAATTTTTGTATAGTTTTATTGTCCAGCAGGTCAAGAGGCTTTGGGATATTAAACCTTTGACTGCCTTTCCAGTCTTATAGCTTCATACACTCCGTGCACACTAATTTTCCTAAACTGCTAGTAGTTCCTTAAAATTATCATGTCTATTTTCTTTTTTCCATTTTTTGTTTTCTTAATTATAAAACATAATCAAAATCAGAAATGTGCGTAAAACATGCACATTTTGGCAAATAATTAAAAAAACATATTGTTTTCACTATCTCCCAGATCAAAAAATAGAAAATCATCAATACCACGGAAGTCCTCTATGTGTTTTCTCCAATTTCTATTCCTTCTCTGATGTTTAGAAGCAATCATTGTCTAGTCTTTTGTCATGAAGAGTTCTTTACTTCTCTTTAAGTTTTACCACCTATGTATGTACACTAAATAATAGTTGTTTCAACCTGTTATGTTATTCAGCCTACATTATTGAATTCTATATAAATGAAATCATACAGTATTGTATTCTTTTGTATCTTGCTTTTTTCACTCAAGATTCTGTTTGTGATGTTAATTTATGTTTTTGTCAGTAGTTGTAAATTGTTCATTTCATTACTGTGTTGTATTCTATTCGAATATATCCAGAATTTGTTTATCCATTCTACTGTTGATGGACATTTGGATTACTTCTAACTTGTAGTTACTTATGAACCAAGCTGCTATGAACATTCTTGTACATATTTCCTGGCATACCAGTTTCTCTGAAGTATTCACCTGCAAGGAAATTTCTGTGTCCTAGAATATACATAACTTCAATTTTAGTAACTAATGCCACACTGTTTTCCAGAGTGGTGCTAATTTTCACTCCCACCAGTACTCTGTGAGAGCTCTTATTACTCTACATACTCTCCCACTCTTGGTATTGGCAGATGTTTTAAATTTTGCCAGTCTGGTGGATGTAAAATGGTATATCGTTATGCTTTTAATTTGCATTTCTCTGATGACTTTATGCAGTTGAGTACTGCTTGGTAAGATTATCAGCTGTGTAGATTTCTTCTTTACGATGTGCCTGTTCAAATTGTTTGCCCACTTTGCTATAGGGTTACCTTTCTTTTTCTTCTTGATTCATAATAGTTTTCTATGTATTCTAAGTATTGGTCCTGTTATGTTTTATAAATAAATCCTCTTTCATTTCATGGTTTGTTTTTTTTGTTTTTCACTCTCTTTATGATGTCTTTTGATGAACTGGTGGTCTTAATTTTAATATAGATGGAACAGAAGAGAAAGGCCAGATATAGACATATCCATATTTGGACTTAATATATGTAGATCAGCAAGGAAAACATGAGGTTTTCAATAAATGATGCTGGGACTATTGGGTATCCATGTGGAAAAAATATATAAAATTTAATTTCAGGTGGATTAAAGACAAATGTGAAAGGCAAAATCATATAACTTCTAAAATAGAGAATTTACAGAAGAGTCATAAAAAGAGTACACAAAACTCCCATATACTTTTCATCAGAATCACAAGTATCATTTTGGCACATTTGCTTTATTATTTCTTCTTTTTGTAGATAGTTATGATTTTTATTTTCCTAGACCATTTGATGGTTATAGACATCATGCTCTTTTATTCCTGAATACTTAAGGGTATATATCCCCAATATACTTAAGGGTATATTGACTAAGAACAGAGATAGTCTCTTACTTAACCACAATATGATGATCAACTTTAGGAAATTGAATATTGATATAGTACTACTATCTCATGTATAATCTATTTCTCAGTTTTATCAGTTGTCTTAATAATGTCTTGAGTGAAACCTTTCCCAGAGTCAAATTTAGGATCACACATTGCATTCAGTTATTATATTCCTTTAAAGTCTTTTTAGACTCATTTAATCTGGAGCAGTATCCTATATTTTCTTTGTCTTTCATGACTTTGAGTATTAACCAGAAGTTGTGTAGACCATTCTTCAGCTTAGGTTTGTATTATGTTTCCTGGTGATTAGATTCAGATGATATAATATTAATGAGAAATCTATATTTTATTTCTTTTTCAATCAATTTTGGTAAGTTATATTTTTCTAGAAGTTTTCTATTCTGTCTAAATTTATTAATTTAGTGGCATCAAATAATTCATTGTATCCTTCAGTTATCTTTTTAACAGATGTAGTATCAGTAGTATTTTTCTCTTATTTCATTCCTGATATTAGATATTGTGACTTCACTTTTTTTCCTTGGTCAATCCCACCAGAATTTTGTCATTTTATTAGTTCTTTTTCAAAGAACCAACTTTTGATGTTGTTAATTCTCTCTTACATGCTTTTGTGTGTTTTGTTTTCTATTATATTAGTTTTGTTTTTGACATTAGTATTTCCTCTTACTTTCTGTAGTTTATTTTGCTGTCTTTATAAACTTCTATAAGTAGATGCTTAGCTTATTATTTGTAGCATTTCTTTTCTCACACATATTTAAGTTTACAAGTACTGCTTTAACTGCATTCCACAAGTTTTGATATATTATATTTTTTTATCCTTCAGTTCTCAATATTTTCTAATTTTTTGAGTAACTTATTCTTTGATTCAAGGTTATTTAGAAAAGTTTCTTTTTTCCCATTAGTATATATAATGGTTTATTAAACTAAAAAATATATCTATCTGTTCCTTCATTTTCTGTATATAAACAGAAACACTGTACTATTCGATAACAGGATACTACTTTATACATAGGTGACTGCTGAATGGGGAAAATTGCAACCTACTATAACTATTTGTTAGGGAACCTAACATCTATTGCACAAAAATCTTTGACTTAATGTAACCCATATAAACAAAACTATTATTAAGTCAACATTGGATATGTTGTTTCAGATTTAACTGTTGTTACTTTTTCTTCACTCCCAAGTGCAAAAAAATGAGTAACCTACCCATAGTCAGTCCTCTGAAATAAAGGATCAGAGACAGTTCTTGTCCACAAGTTGCCATATTTTGTATCATATAACCTTGCAGTCCTGAATTAGAGATTGGCACTTAGCCAAAAGCCAGGTATTCTACAGTGTGGACATGAGGAAGACTAATAATTTTTTGAGGTGGCCTACTGCCTAAACTACTGATTTGGTGCATTTTGTTTTGGAAGAATGACAGACTCATAGGTTTAGATCATTTCTCTTGAGTAATTTAAACACAGAACACACAAGAAGAGACACAGTTAGGTAAGCAATGGCAGAAACCAAGAGAGAGAATGTCATAGGCAAAAGCCATGAGACAGTAGAAGCCATGAGTAAACCAATTGTCATAAGGTAGGGATTAAAGTTAGGGTTAAAAGCAAAGCAGAGTCAGAGCTAAAGAGAAACATGAGAATAGAAGAATGACCAGAAAATGGAAGAACATATGCTTATTTCTGAAACAATACCTACTAGAGTGATATTAGGATATTAGTCTATTTGTTATTTCTTTGGCAATAACAGAAACACAATTTCACAAGAACTGGCTATTTGGCTGTAGAGTCAGTTCTCCAGATGTCCTTACTTTGCTTTTTATCATATAAATCCTACACAGCCTGAAGTAACCTGAGCATACCTCTATCTCTTGTTAACTAAAAATCTTTCATATCCAGAAATATGTTTCTTTATTTCCATATATATGAATGTTTTGGTTGTCTTTTTGGTATTGATATCTAGCTTATCTTCATTGTGATTAGGACACATACTATGTGATTTCAGTACTTTAATATTGAGACTCACTTTACTTACAGCAGAAATATATATTCTTCAGGTTGTTGGGTTAAGTGTTCTGAATATGTCTGCTAGGTTTTATAAATCATTTTGTTCAAACTTTTTATATTTTTAATGAGTTTATAGCTGCTAGTTCTATCACCTATCAAGAAAAATGTGTTAATATCTTCTCATATGATTATGAATTTATTCTTATTTGCTGTTACCACTAGTGAGTGACAGAGACAGGGTTCAAACCCTGGCCGAATGGCTCAGTCATTGGTGTTCTTCACCACTTGCTTTTTACTCTCAAAATAGAAGAGGATGATAGCAAAGATCAGAGGCAGCTTTGTAGCATAATATTTTATGGGACTGGTATTGTCCTGGGTAGAATAGAACAAGACGGTAAATTTCGATAATCAGAGAGTAGCTGGTGAACACAATTTTGAAAAATAAAATAAAATAAAATAAAGGAGCAAAGGAGAGAGGCCAAGACAAAAATTAGGTTTATGAAAAACTAAAATGCCAAAGTTAAACTGAGAAATCTTACCTAGAGCTTGCCTTTTCTCACCCCATTCTAAATACTAAGACTGGGCCTCTTTAACTCCTGAAGGAATCAAAGAGGGATAATTACGATGCAATGAAAAGTTCTCTAATGTTATTTAACTAGAGATAATAAGTCTTGCCTTGCCCTGCCCTTCTCTGCTACGTATCACAAAAACTATAGAAATGGTGGCATACTATATCCATTGGTTCCCATTTATGTAATTCAATAGGAACTTTGCTCATAAAATATATCAGTACACTCAGAATACATTGCT